CAATTTGCCATGAAAGATTTGGGTCCTCTTTCTTATTTTCTGGGTATATCGGTACAGCGGTCATTGGACGGTCTGTTTCTATCTCAGGCCAGATATGCTCAGGACATCCTAGCTCGTGCCAAGATGAATGACTGTAATCCGGTCCTCACCCCGGTCGACACTGCCGGTAAGCTAGGCGCCACGTCTGGCGAACTTCTTGACGATCCCACCACCTATCGAAGTCTGGCAGGTGCGTTGCAATACTTGACGTTTACCAGACCCGATATCTCTTATGCGGTGCAGCAGATATGCATGTACATGCATGCCCCCCGGACCGGTCATYTTCWTGCGTTAAAGCGGCTTCTGCGATATGTCAAGGGAACTCTCAATATGGGTGTTATGATGAAGGCATCCCCTCTCTYTAATCTTATTGCTTATACAGACGCTGACTGGGCAGGTTGTCCGGATACTAGACGGTCCACATCTGGGTATTGCATCTTCTTTGGCGACAACCTCATCTCCTGGTCTTCCAAACGACAGTCAGTTGTTTCCCGTTCCAGTGCTGAGGCTGAATACMGAGGGGTGGCCAACGTTGTGGCCGAGATCTGTTGGCTCCGTAATCTCCTTCTTGAACTACATTGCCCTMTCMGCCGTGCTTCTCTCGTTTTTACAGACAACATCAGTGYTGTTTACCTCTCCGGCAATCCGGTTCAACATCAACGGACAAAACACGTGGAGGTGGATATTCACTTTGTTCGCGAGAAAGTGCAACGTGGTCACGTTCGAGTCCTTCATGTACCGTCTCGGCACAATTTTTCAGACATATTCACTAAAGGCCTACCCCGAGTTCTTTTTGATGATTTTAGATCCAGCCTAAGCTTACGGGAACCTCCACCTTAGACTGCGGGGGTGTATTAGTCTATATTATTATGTATGATATTTTCAATACTTAGCATAGTCGGTGGTACCTAAATGTAAATTGTATTGCTATAAATATTGAGGAATGAGAAGGGACAACACACGAATTATCAAAACTATAACAAGAATCACCTTATCTCTCAATTGTGCAGTAACTTCTTTACCTTCACTTCCAGTAGATTTTGGCCCGAAAGACCCATGGTTATCATGTTAAACAGAACAAGCTCAAAGTAACCAATGATTCCCTTTCCAATATGTTCTAGGAAATATCATCCTTGCTTTTCACCAAGATCAAAAATTGGTATTATAAACGAGACAATATGTACTTGATCTTTAAACCAATCTTAAACATCCTATTAACAATGAACTTTTATCAATCAATTATCAAAGGTATATTCCTAGTAGCAGGAAGCAATAGCAGATCCAAGGTGCACAAAGGCAATGGGTGAAGAGATGGAGGCTCTGTAGAAAAACTTTACATAGGAACTCATTTCGTATTCTAAAGGGAAGAAGACAATCAGGTGACGGAGGGTGCATAGCGTGAAACTTAAGCTCTTCTAAGTATAACTAGGTCACATCAAATGCTAGTGGGGTAGTTGATCCATTTGATTCTTACTAGGCCGGATATTGCCTATAATAATAAGCCCGTTTATGCATGCACCAAATGAGGAATACACGAACGCAGTCTATAAAATCTTAAGAGGTACTTGAGAGGTGCTCCATGAAGGGGTCATTGTGTAGAGCCAAACGTGTCATGTTAGATCATAGAAGTGATAACTTCAAAATATTCCAAGTACTGAAGAGAGATCAAAGATCTGATTGGCTAACTCAGAGTTAATCTGTAGCCAAGAATAGACCAAGTACAACTCTGAGTATGAATACTCGGTGTTCGGTGTAGAAGACCACAGAGTTCAGCTAAGGAAGGATTAGCTTTTGGTGTATAAGGGTCAGAGATCTGAGCCATAAGAGTCGGACTTTGGACACAAGTCTGGAAATGCCTTTCCAGATTTGGGAACTTGCAAGAAATCCAGAAGAAGATTTTACATCTTGTCAACTGTGCACTCTACAAGTTTTTAGGTGTTTAAAGTTCAGAAGACCTGAGGATATTAGAACACGTGTCAGCAGTTTATTTGTCTGTATTGTAACTGTCGTGTAACTATATTATGCCTTCTGAACATGTTGTATATATAGCTGTTAGTTTCTAGAGAGTTTGTAATTCACTGTAAACAGCTATAATCCGATCTGACTCCTCATGCTTGCAGTTGAGAAACGAGTGAGAAAAACATTTCCTGGCTGTTCTCATTAGATTCGATTGTAACTCTCTTTAGAATATTTTCTCAAAGCTTGTAATCTCCATTGAAGATCAATGACATATGACTACCCTGACTTCCCTGCTCTAATTGTGTGTTCTTGATTGATCTTATACATTGTGATTGTTAGTCTTTAGACCTCTGGGATTATCACGTTGTACTCGAAAATGAAGCACCCACCATTGAAGGTCAAATCTTGCTAATTTGGCAGGAGATGGGTCAACGAAAGCTGGCCATCTCACATTTGTGAGAGGCAATTTTGTTAGCAGAGGAAGCAAGAAATAAAAGGTCGTTGCTCTCCAGAGTGTTGCTCTCCAGAGTATGGCACACGAGTTGTGGGAGTTGTTATGGATTAAAGGTGTACTTAAGGACCTACAAATCAGTATCCGAAGCCTAGAAGTGTATTTCATGATAAGAGAGCTCCGGTACTATCTCCATTACAGCATGGATTGCCTTAAGCATGTTGACGTTTATCTTCATTTGTTACCTTATATATGTGAATTATCTTGAATAGAGCTGAACAATTGTCTCTTTGCTGATACTTGGATATATCTGCCTCATGATGAGAAGAATAACATACAAAAGAATTTCATGCCAGACTTTCTATTAACCCAAAGGGGCTGGCCTAGTGGGCAAGTCAATAATATTTGGTGCCTCATGAATCATTAAGTGTCAAGTTCGACTCCCATTAAGGTGGCACCGATTCCTTGGGGCCACACTCGCTGTCTGGAAGACCTAAAGCTTTCCTAGGACATGTAGAGACGGCACTTTCGATGAATCGCTTGACTAGTTAGACCAAATGTGCTAGACACGATGGTTATATTAAAAAAAGAACTTTCTGTTCATCAGAACTTTTCTTAGGATCCCGACAGGATGGCATTGGTTATGTATGTGCAACTTAATTCCCACTCACCAGTATCAAATATCAACCATCCATTTTATGAATTGAACTTTACAGATAAAGTGAACACTTTTATCATCTTTGCACAATTAATTAATCGAGACCAAATATTGTTCAGTCCGTCTCTAATAGAAGTGACATTAGAGTAGGTGGATTGTGCAACATACCTGTACATAACATAGGCAATCAGCCTATTTTCTTCAACCACTCTGGACAACTTTCTTAAGAGTCAAGCTGCTTGCTGCTCGAAGGAACAGTTGAAAGTTCCTGCCTTCCTCTCCATTCCTCACCTGGCTTTAACGTAATGGGTTTCTCCACTGCTGCAGCCTCCACACAGAGCATATGCTTGTACTCATCATCTCCGAAATCGGCCATCGTCCTTGCCTTCTTATCCCATGGATTCCATACCACTACAGGAGCAGAAAGAGTTATGATCTTTGCAAACAAATTTTTTGGTAACAATGATCAGGAAAGCTGTAGCCTACCATCAACTTGTTCTGCTTCAGTGACCTGCCCCTGCCCCAATTTCTCTCCCTTCCCCAGAAGCAGGAAATACAAATTTTTAAAGTTGATTTCTGATTTATGATTTATTCCTATCCCCCTCTCTATTTTAATTAACAAAATTTCACCTCTATAATCCCAATCCATTATCACTATTCATGGTAAACAATTATGGCTATATTGTCAAAGTTGCAACAATGCATCCCTCCACACCCAGGCCGAGGATATGATGGAGTGGGAGCCTCAACCATGCTAATCCACCTATTCGATCATGCTTTAAGTTCCTATTTCCTAGAAATTCAGATATAAGACAGCTATGATAATCTAAATGATGAGAAAAGATAAGGAAAGGTGCAATCTCACCAGCATCTGGAAGCCCATCTTTCCGGATGGAAAATGTTCGTTTCTTTTCATGATCCATAATTGTAATTTTGGTTGGTGTGCTGAGATAAATCTTGTCAACCTGATTAAGAAATAACACTACATGAGCCCTAACCATGTTTAAGTACTGAAAATTGAAGTAAGGGTAAAGGTCAGCAAAAGTACTTCAGATTCAAATGTGATTGAATCTCCTTGTTCTGTAAATCGCTCCCTTTTCTGGCAGTTGTCAAGATAATCCAATGTTTCCAATCCTTCGACCCGAACTTCACTGAACGAACAGAAATTACAATATACTTAAAGAAAAGATTATAACTGATCCATCAAATCATCATAAAACCTTGTTCAGCATGAAAAATGAATAAGAATAGGGCCAATTTTAGTAATTACTGAGAAAATATATAAGAAAATGTTCTCTTGTGTTTCATATGAATTTATACAATGAAAGGCTCCTTATTTATAATAAAGATTATGTTTCCCAGTTATTCTAGGAATAGGAAACCGCATAAAGGGATAATATACGACATATCTACAACTAATATTTAATACTCCCCCTCAAGCTTGAGCATACAAATTATACGTTCCAAGCTTGTCACAAGTGTTAAGTAATCTGAGGACTGAGGCTTTGTAAATATGTCTGCTAGTTGACATTTTACTTCACATAACACGTATCAATTTTTCTAAAAGAACTTTCTCTTGAATAACATGGCGGTCAATCTCTAACTCCTCGAAAAATTGTTCCAACCATATAAGTTCACACGTTGCTCTGACCATGGCTCGGCTTTAGCAGTTGATAGAGAAACAATAGATTGTTTCTTGCTTTTCCATGAAACAAGATTACCCCCAACGCAACATCCGGTGGTTGAATCTTTATCAAATGGACAACATGCACCATTAGTATATGAATAGCAAATCACTTGAGAGTGGCCTTTGCTCTCATATAATAAGCCTTTTCCCGGAGTTCTCTTGATATATCTCTGAACACTAATGGAAGCATTCCAATGGTTGTCATAGGAAATATTTAGAAATTGGGTAAGGATACTCATTGGGAACGTTATGTCAGGATGTGTAACCGTGAGGTAGTTGAGTTTGCCAATAGGTCTCTAATATTGGCTCCCCTTGATACGGAGAAGCTTGACATTTTGGATCCATCGCACTATTCATCGGTTTGCAATTGATCATGTTGGTTTATTTCAAGATGTTCAAGGCATACTTTTGTTGGGAGATGAAAATACCCTGTTAGGATTGTGCAACCTTTATTTCCAAGAAGTACTTGAGTTTGCCAAAATCTTTTGTTCGGAAGTGGTGGAATAGATGTTGCCTCAGTTTTTGTACACTGTCCTCCAAATAATGACAATGTCATATACATAAACAACCAAATAGATATAACGGTCAAAGGAGAAGTGGTTGTAGAATACTGAATGGTCAACATCACTTTGGATCATACCAACCTGTTGAACAACTATTGGAGATGGCATATCATACCAAAAGACTCCTCCTGAGCAACAAACCGTCAAACCGTGATGGTTGCTCCATATAAACTTCTTGCAATTCACTTAGAAAGGAATCTCGATATCCAAATGGTAGAGTTGCTACTGTGAATGGTTGTCATGGAAAGGGATATCCAAATTGAAGTCGTTTTGGCAATGGGGAGAACAGATGACCGTAATGAAACATAGGTATAACCCTTAGCCACCAACCGATCCTTTAATCAATCTATATTTCTAACAAGATCAACTTTGACGGGGTAAACCCAATACATGGTATTGGAGCAGCTCTGATTCATCTCTCCATCCTCAAGCCATCTACAATCGATGAATACATACATCAAGACAGCCATGGTAAGCAAAACCGAGAGTGGCAGCCATTTTTAATCAGGAACAAATTGATGCCTTGCAAAGAATGCTCCAAGTCACCATCCAAACATATTCCTTTCTCTTATTCATAATTTCTACACGGTATCAGCTCTGATCCATCTTTCCATCCTCAAGCCATTTACAATCAATGGCCAAATACATCAAGATAGCCATGGTAAGCAAAACCGAGAGTGGCACCCTGATACGGATTGGGAATTAATAAAAACCGATGCAAATAAGCCTAGAATATTGCATGTGTATTCTAGAAGGGTAAAAAAGGGAAATGATGAAAGTGGCTGAGATTAGTTAGAGGAGAGAGAAGAATAAATTGAGAAGGGCGATCCTTGAGTCGCTCATTCTGTTTTCTTTCATGGTTGCTTAGACTCCAATCTTGTGATTGTGAGGGAGGGATTATCCCCGAGATTTTGTTTGTAATCTGTTCATTTCAAGTTCAATAGAATCATCGTCCTCTTCCCTTAATTTCTGTGTTCTTGTTCATTTTGTATCGAATTGAGATCATTCCTCCATCATTGGTAAGACCTGCCCTTGAGCTGCCATTTTTTTGTTTTCCATACTCTTTAACGATGGAAACGTTCTGTTCAACACCGAATTGAGCAACATGAGGAGCTCATTCATCAACTTCAATCTGATGTTACCGATAAAAAAACCGCTCTGCAGACTTTGGAAGTGGATAGGGCTGAATCCAACGAATTCCATAAGGTCATGTTGGGATGGATGAAATAACAAGGGAAACAACAGTTTCAGGATTCAGGGGGTGCTTTGGGATTAGGTGATCAATTCTCGAGTACCTTCTTCGATATTCACAGCAGCGGTGGAGGACCTGGTGGTGGTGGCTATAATCCTCCCAAAACCGCCGATGGTTTACCTTGGGCGGTGAAGAAAGTGAAGTTACCGGTGTTTTATGGGTTTGATCCTCAGGGATAGATTAAGAAGGCCAATTCGTATTTTGACAAAGTACGGTACTCCAGTTCACCTTCGCCTTCGTTTGGTGCAATTAAGCATGATGGGGGTGGCTCAACACTAGTTCACCATCGTCATGCAGGTTCATGAGGCGATTACTTGGGAGCAATTTCAGGTTGACTTGTTGCAACGATTTAGTGGATTGGAGATCCAAAACCCATGTGAACAGCTTGCTACCATTAAGCAGTCCACCTCCATCCATGATTACTTCGACGACTTTGAATACCTTCTCTCGTTGGTTCCTATACTACCGGAAGCACAAGTGTTGGGGTACTTTGTGGCAGGGTTATGGGATGAGGTCAAAAAATGGGCTCGATTACACCGTCCCCAGTCACGTTTGGACGCTATGATTTGGCAAAGGACGTCAAAGAGATGTTACATCCGTCATCATGTAATCTAACTCAAACACGTTTTCATTATCATCAGGGCTGCGGTTTCAATCCAGTGGGTCAAGGGGATGTCCGCCCTCTTACCTTGGGCCGCACAGATGATAAAGGACCATTTACACCCAAGCTTATGGATCGATCACTTACTTCTAAATCCTATCAAACTTCTCGTCCTTGTGGTTCTCCGGCTTTCGACATTCCTTCCGGCAATCAGAAGGATCCGGGGTACCGCTCCCTTACTCGAACGGAATGGGAAGAGCGCCATAAAAAGGGGTTATGTTTTCGATGTGGGCAACAATTTGGGCCGGCTCATAAGTGTCCCGAAGGGAAACTATGAGTATTATTGTTGGGCGATGATGAAGATGATTTGTATACGGGTGACCTTTGTTATTTAGAGACTTCCGACGACCAACCCAATTCAGGGGAGGAGCAGATTCCGTCGGGAATGTGTGTTGCTTTGGAGTATTTTGGGGTTTCTACTGAGGTCACTCTAGGGGGCAAGATGATGAAGTTAGAAGGGGCAATTCGAGATATTCCGGTTATCATCCTAGTCGACAGTGGAGCAACTCATAATTTCATCTCTAGACATTTGGTAACATCTTTAGCTCTACCTTTTACTTGTTGTTCGGGAATTAGTATCAAATTGGGGGATGGCCATAAGGTACTTGTTGATAAACAATGTGTAACACCCCCATATCCATATATTGCATATAACACATATTTCATATATAGAATACATGTTTTCTCCACACAGGTCCATAATACAAGAGACTAAAATATACAACTTAAAAATTTCAGAGTACATGCTCTTGTATTCTAGTATCTAAGCTTCAAGTGTTCAAGGGTTTTCTTAGAAAAGTTGTGTTGGTTCTTTTATGATATACTTGTGTATAGTAAGTCAATGGAGGATCATGTGGAATATTTGAAGCAAGTATTTGAAGTTCTGGCACCAACTTTATGCTAACAAAAAGAAGCGTGAATTTGGCCAAAAGAGGCTTGTTTACCTAGACACGTGATCTCAGGGACTGGTGTTGAAATGGATGAGTCCAAGGTACATGGATGCTTGAAAGGCCCACCCCAAAAACAGTTTCAGAGCTCAGGGGATTTTTGGGATTATCAGGGTACTACAGAAAGTTAAAGGGATATGGTGGGATGGCTGGTCCTTTGACTGAGTTACTTAAAACAAACCAGTTTTCTTGGAACGATAAGGCACAACAAGCTTTTCAAGATTTGAAGAGGGCATTAACGACAGCTCCGACAATAAGGCTGCCAGATTTTTCACAAGACTTTGCGATTGAAACCAATGCTTCGCGGTTCAGTTTAGAGGCAGTTCTTAAGCAACAAGAACAGCCTTATAGCCTATTTTAGTCAAGATTTTAGCAAAACAGAAGGCTATTTACGAGAAAGAGTTGATGGCTATGGCATTGGTTGTTTGAAATGGAGATAGTATTTGTTGGGCAGAAAGTTTGTGGTCAGAACAGATCAACAAAGTTTGAATTCCTGTTGGAGCAATGTGTCATTCAACTGGAGTATCAAAAGTGGGCTAGTAAGCTATTGGGGTATGATTTCTCAATCGTTTACAAGACGGGGAGTTCCAATCAAGCAGCTGATGCGCTGTCAAGACAAGTGATGGAAGTGGAATATGCAAAGCTTGGGGGGTTCTCAGTGGAGGCAGAGGGATGTGTTGAAAGAGGAAATTGAGAAAGATGCTTTCTTACAAAAGATAAGAGATGATCTAGAGAATGGGAAATGGAGGACAAAGGGATTTGGATTGCAACAAGAGTTGTTGTATAAGGGTAGACTGGTGATACCTCGTACGTCGACGGTGATTCCATTGATCTTTGAAGATTTTCACGGGTCACCAAATTGGTGGTCAGGCAGGGGAGGATAGGTCTTATCAGCATATTTCTTTGGAGATTTTCTGGGTTGGGATGCAAAGGGTTACTGGGGAGTTGGTTAAACAGTGTGAGGTATGTCAAAGGAACAAGAGTTTGAGTGGATCACCAGCTGGGCTGTTGCAGCTGTTGGCTTTGCCTTTACAGGTATGGAAGAACTCTCGATAAGGCCTGTCTGAATGCTCCTTAATATGTTCCAAATATCCAAACGAATCACCAGGTCAAAAGGCAAATTTACCTTCAAACGAGTTTCATCAGCATGGAATTGAATAACCAAGCATTACTGGCTCACCCAAAATTAACAGATTTACTAACAGGAGCTTCTATATGATTATAAAAAAAATGGCATTTTGTGTCTAGTGTTTAGTTCAAAATAATATATAGTAAGAACAAACGAAATCTTATCTCATTGAGTGAATATAAAACTCAAGACATGCAAAATGAATTATATAACAAGTATAAAATATTTTATCCCTATAAGATCAAGTTAATGATAGAACGAAGTGAGCAAGACTGATTTACCTGATATCCGAAACTGAAAAATATGTGTGATAGGCAAATGTAAATGTAAATGGCTTTCCATCAGTGCTAGTATTTCTTATCCGAGATGTCAACATCAAATCTGCTCGAGGACCCAAAGTAATCCGCAACCGATACTCAAAGCTAAAGAAACAACAAAAGGAGATTGAACTGAAATAGCAGAGATACTTGTGACTGGAATAAGTTTTGTCTATTGAAAAGGACAATACACAGAAGAAAAATGTGGTAATCTATCTAGAAAAAGTTTATAAACATCCTAATCAGAATGTCTGGTAGAGAAGAAATTTGAGAAGTTCTATCAGATGTACCTGTGAGGCCACAATTTCAGATCCTCTTTAGTGGGCCTAAGAATCAAATCAATAAAAATTTTATTGGTAGCATCAGCTGGGAAAGGAGGGGGGTTATCGTCAAAGGTCCATAATCTGTTTCGAGCAAATCCATGTGCTTCAAGAGAGCCTAGATTTGAAAACTGCATCAAGGAAGAAAGTTTCCCAGACTAGGATAAATCGCAAAACAGAAAATGGAACAGCCAAAGAAAAGAGTCACTTACTTGAGGGAAACATATAGGAATACCCCCACGAATTGGTTTTGGAGGCTTAAAGATTGCCTGCAGAAAGAACATATTCATTTCTCGATGAGGGGAGAAGACAAGGCTAAGCACAATGACCTTCTCAACACTTAACTTATTGCTAGAGGATAAACTTGGAAATGGGGAAAATAGATGCATATACGTTCATATATACAGACACGAGAAAACAAAAAGTAAGAACATAAAGAAACAAAAGTAATGCATGAATAATATGTTAGGATGAGAAATTCCAGCCACCCCAACACCAAAGATAAATAAATGAAAAAGAAGTGAGAAAAGAAAATAATCCAATGACGCAACATAAATAGTAACATGCAAATATGTCCTTAGACACGCATCCATTCAGGGTTGTGAACATGAATAAGGATGGGTTGTTGGTGGATTAGAGAAGATGAGAAACGCCTCCTGAGGGTCAGTTCAGCGCTGTTATAAGGGGATAATTGCAGATTTAATCCACATGGATGTATTATAATATGTTCTTTATGAGAAGAAAGAAAATAGAAGGAATGAGAAAATAACAGCTACTTACCCCTGCCACTATCCACCATTCTGTGTATCGAGGATGTAGTATACTAGTAAGAGTTCACTAGTATGGCCTAGACAGAACCATAACTCCATAATCTAACTAAATACAAGGAATTTTCTGCCCTCTCAAATACATCTTGAATATTTGAAGGTGTCTTCACCTTCCTTTTCCCTCATATATAACAGATGTAAAGATTGCATCAAGGTGATACTATCACCCCCCCCTCCAAACAAGTTATAAACAGAGAGAGGATATGGTCTAACAATTAAAACCTGAAAGACATTACACATCTATGCTTTAAAACCATTTCCTGGTACTGAATTTCCAGGTGCAAGAAATGATATATAGACAGTTTCATATAGAAATATTACCAGCATTAACTATGTATTGTAATATTCTGCCAGACTGCAGATGCAGGACAAAATAAAAAGATACCTGGACTACTTCCATAAAACATCAAGTGCCAAAAACTTTAAGATCAGCAAACAAGTGATAATAGAAACTCATTCAATGGCATAAGTAAATAAGCGTGTAACTGTATCTAGCAGTCTGACACCTTACTACTGAGAAAAAGCAACTCTTCTCCATGCTCATTTTTCCAAGATGTCACATGAGCCCCATAGAAATATACCTGCAGGATAGAAAGCAAAAGAGCAATAAAGATGCAAGGTCTCCAACTATAACGACAGTTAAACCACATCACTAGGAGAACAATTAATCCACCTAATTTATAAACAAACCCAACATGAATAATTATATTTTAACATAAGCTAGCATGATTGTACATAAAGCTAATTTTGTATAGAACTACAATTAGAAAGGAAAGCTCTGTAAAGTACACAGATTAGTTGTCATTTCTCCTTCCCTTTTCAAAGGGCTTGAGGATTGGGGTTTCATCACCATTGGAAGATATATGCATCATCTATTTGTCACCATGATAATCATTGGACATGGTATATTTTATGAAGTTTCAGATACTGAAAACTTTTATGCAATATGCACAATGAAATAATACCACAAGATTAGAAGTCTATCAGTTGCAATCAAAGAGATACAATCTGAGGTAAAACTCATGTTTAATAAGAAGTAATACAAATTGAAAATTGTTCATCAGAAGTTAGTAGCAGAACTATATCGACTTCATATCACCTAGATCAACTTCATAAATCCTTCAAGTCTTATTTGTATGCAGGGTCAAGTCACGACTAGCCCCGCATAATTTTTCAAAATTACATGAAAAAGAACCTCCACTACTAGTCAAGCTAAAGAGCTAAAGAGCCAAAGAGGGTGAATTCTACCTCCTTGTCCAGCTCAAATTTGATTCTGATGAACCTAGGAATATTGTATTTCAGACAGATATAATTCTTATGGCTAATAAATCTCTAACTTCTTGTAAATAGAATCTGTTTTATTCTTCTAATAGCTTCATTTGACATATTAACGATAAATATTCTCCTTATAGCTAAAATCAAGCATGCAAGTATTGAGCTGCTAGAATGGTTTCAATATAAACAGTCAACAATGGGATGCCTAACCCAGGGTAATTGTATATATCTAAATGCTTGCCACATAACGTTTCGACCTCATATAGGCAATATATTTTCAAATAAAGGTGCCATGATCGTAAACAGAATTCTCGTATTACTGTCTCTGAATACTTGATGTATTAAAACGGTCACTACATTCATATGCACAAAATAAGCAGGTGCATATATAACATAGAACAGAAGTTGCCCATTGATTCCATAAGATTCAGCTGAACAAAAACCGGAATACATGATTGATATATTTCACTCTGACTTTGAAAAAAGAAAAGTGTCGGCTTAGAGACCATAGTACCATACAGCTGTTTTCTTGACTTTTTCATTTTCAGGTTTGCTTGGAAGACCTTTCTATCAGTTTAACCACCACTAACTTAAGATAAGACAAATTATCACCTAGCAATGCAACCAGCTTCAAATTCTTAAGCACAAATCGCAGGTCCCGTCGAATTATGGTTGACAAATTGATATGTTGAATCTATAAAAGACTAAACTTGATTATCATCGCCAAATTGAACATTGCCAGGGTCAAGTACAATAAAACACACACAAAGGACACGATAACTAGATGAATTCCTCCAAACAGGAAATGCAATAATTCTCATGTATACACCTAAATCCTATAAAACAACAAACTTTTGACCTAATAAAACTTCTGATCTATTTATTGTCATCACATGTAAGATCAAATCGATAACAACTGCTTTACATAAAACCCACCTCAAGTAATGATAAACAAGGAAAAACTCGTAGTAAAATAGAGCAACCTAATCAAAAAAATATGAAATTAACTTACAAACCTCGACACTGCTGCCATGGATTTCACGAAGAACAACCTTTTCGAGGCCATTGATGGCTTTAACGACCTCAACCGATCTTTGTTCTGAGGTCGACATCTCATTCATCAATCATCAATTTCCATAACCTACACTAAATTCTCTCCCTCAAACGAAGAAACAACACTACTATGTGTAAATCTCTGCATGTATTGCCATTCTTCCTCCACAAACTGTGTGGCTTTGCTCTCTGTGTTGATGGTAAGGTGATATCATGATGCCATGTGTAACTTTTGCTTTTTGGATAAAAATAATTGAGTGCATTGCAAATATTTACCCCTAAATTATCCTCAATATGCTTTTTTGACCTTTCAAAAGTAATTTTTGCATTATTTAATCCGTTGGTGAAAATTTATGTCTCAATTAAGTCCATGTTGGTCATAACCGATTTTGTTAGTTTGACACGTGGCATGCACATGCTCTTTGTAAGGCTATTTCTGTCAAACGGCTATTTTATCGTTAAGCACTTTAGTGGTCACTAATAAGTTGATTTTGATAAGTCAGGGAGGATTGACTTATCAAAAACGACTTATTACCGGTTTGGTACCGGTATAAGCACTTTTTTTTTTACCCAAACACTCCAAAATGACTTATCTCCGGTACCGAACTGAAATAAGTTAATAAGTCAGTTTGAAAAGCTTACCCAAACACCCCCTAAATGCATTTTTGTTTTTTCACTCAAAATTGTAAATTTAAAATGTCATATGATACGGATCATAAGATGATAATTAAATGAGAAAAAATAAAAATATATATAAAAAATTATGAAAATGGATATAAAATATATTTTTACATTAGTTATTTTGATCGAAAGTTATGGTTTAATGCTGTTTCATATATGTTTGTATTCATTTTATTAAAAAAATTACATGTGAAACTTATTTTAATCACTTAGTGAAACGAAAAATATACAAAAAAATATTTATATGGTGAAACAAATACATGTGAAACTATCACGTTATGAAACAATATATATGTGAAGCAATATCTTAAATCCTACCATTTTATGGAAAAAAAATTATGTAACAATTTATTTTTAAATCGGTTCTCACTGGATTTTAACTTTTTTGTGTTTCTTATTTGATTTAACCCCATGACTCATATCTATTTAATTTAGTTTTAAATTAGTCTTTCCTAATTAATCAAAATGGTAATTCTATTTGTTATTACAATACAATTTGTCTATATATACAAGTTTCTTTCACAATCCCAATACATTATTTATTTGTTGTTATTATTGTAATTCGCAAAGAAAAGAAGAGTCAGACAAACATGTATTCGGAGCTTGTTTGAATAATCATTTGGGGTTTTTGTGCCTAGAGAAACAAAAACACAATGTTGTGACCAAAACTTATTTTAAGAACGCATCCCATGACTCGATTTTGGTTTATTTTCTTTTTGATTTCTTGAATTGGTTTCTAGTTATAAAACTATAGTGTTAACATATATTTTAACTAGAAGATGGCCTACGATAAATGAAAAACATTGTAGAATTCCCCTCGTGTTATTGCCATTCACACTGCGAAGATGTATCAAACTCTTAATAAAGTTTGGAGTTGGTCCCAGCAGTGACCAAATTTATCCAAAGCCTGTGATATAACCTAAGTAAAATGCAAGTTACCATGAAATAAACAATATGTAAAACCTTGGTGGGTCATTTACAACGTTCGACACTTGTCGTAGTACTTAAATGCACCATATTTCCCGATCACTTTCTCCATTAACATATCAAACACTTGTATGACACGAGTAAATTGATATTGAGACGTTGGTTCTTTTTGCCACAATCCTCTTTTTCTCTTCAAAATGAAGTTGGATACGCATGAAACAAACACCATAATCCAATGAATTATATGTTGGAATATATGAGTCATAAACTCAACGGAAAATAATTGCATTCCTCCAAGAATCCATATGGAACGGAGTTGGATGGGTGTTGCAAAATTTTACCAAAACAAACATCAACCCTTTGATGTCATATTTGAATCTAAGCCAAAGAACTCAATTTGTTGCAGCCACGATATCTACGCAAATATTCTAGTTAACGTCTAAACCCAAATGAGGAGATCCCCTTTCTTCCACGAATGCTAGATATGGTCTCCAACTCCTTGTAAGAGATAAAGAGCAACTTGTGGAATAGAGAGAAAGAATTGAATCGAATGAACAATTTTTGCAACCAACCATGCCATTGTCGCACAATGAGTCTCTATTTATATAAGTGTAAGAATGGTCCTTATAATAAACAAGTATTATAAGTACCGTATCTGAAAGAATGATTGATTATTTTATAAGATCTCATATCTTTTAAAGGCATGTTTGTCCTTTTTACACATATTTAATCTAACAAGTCATTTGCTTGGCAATTCTTATTCAACGCTCACTACAACAAAATTGAATTTATAAGACAACAAGGATTCCTGAGCATACTAACATACCTTTTTTACGACTTCATTAATAGGATAAAAAACTAAAGCATCATATCTAAAGACGTTATAATAAGTTTATAGGATGTTTTGGGCGTCGTAACAAGTTTTTTAAAAATGTCATAATAGCTGTTTTGTATGATAATATTTGAAAAAATGTCATATAAAAACAAATGTCCGATAAAAAGATGGGTTTATAAGACATCCTTAAAAGTGGCCTATAAAATAGCTAATGCGATGCTTTGTATTAGAAAGTCCTAAGACCATCTTTTACTCGCAATCCTTTACAATTTAATCTCAATTAAAATATTATTTTCTCTCTCATCTACTTATATAATCCTCAACTTTAATCCAATTTTACTTCTTTTATCATTTAACCACAATCCCCTCAAATCCAATCTGATCTAAAATATTATTTTGTAAAAATTATATATTTAATCTTTTATGTATACAATTATTAATTTTTAATTCCAAGTATAAGTATAAGAATTGAAAGGTCCACACCATTACATATTTTAAAACGTAATTATAAATATAAAAAACTTACCATACAATTGAAATTAAATAAAACAAGTCCCCAAAATAAATACGAAATTACATATTTGAAATACATAAATAATCGTAGTTAATTATCATGACCGAATTTTTGTCATATATTCTCAATCAAATCATTTTTTAGAGCGTTATGAGCTTTCCTACTACGAAGTTGTTCTTTGTTAGTCATATAACGAGATAGAATTGAAATCCATTTAGTAGAGAATTTAGTTGATTGACCACCATCTTCTGTAGCACTTCCTTGTTGTCGATTTGTGGGCATGTCGTTAAGAAACTCAATAGGATCATATAATAATTTTGGTATGTATCTCGTTCGTCTTCAACTATCATACTATGCATGATGATACAAGCTATAATAATACGTTCGATTATATATTTGTCCCAGAAAAGACATGGTCGTCGAATAAATGCAAAACGAGCTTGTAGAACTCCAAATGCTCCCTCAACATATTTTATGTATGCCTCTTGAACTTGAGAAAATAACTTGTGCTTTCGCATTTTGGGAGATGTAATTGACTTGACAAATACAACCCATAAAGGATATATGCCATCAGTGAGATAATATGTCCTATCATTTTGTGACCATTCACGACATAACTAGCTTTTGGTGATCGATCTGCCAATACATCACTAAAAACAGGACATCGAGGGAGTATATTAATATCATAAAGCGAACATGGGGTTCCAAAGAAAGCATGCATATCCATAAATCATATGATGCAATGGCTTCCAAATTGATTGTTAGCTTTCGACTTCTTCCGGCATATTGTCCAACCCATGCACTTGGACAATTTTTCCATTCCCAATACATCCACTCAATACCACCTATCATATCCGGGAATCCACGTTGATCTCCAACATAGAGTAGTCTTGCCAAATAAGCTTCGTTAGGCTTTCTGAGGTACTCATCAAAACATGAAATGGCACCATCTACGACGTGCATGAGAGCTTCCCTTGTGGTGGATCCACTCATTCTCAAATATTCGTCAACTACATCAGCTGATGTCCCATATGCCAACACCCTCATGGTCGCAATACATTTTTGCAATGGTCAAAGACTTTATCTACCCGTGACATCAACTCATTCTGGAAAAAATTCGTCATTAGCACTAACACCATCCACTATACGATGAAATAAAGGTCTTTGCATTCGAAATTTTCTTCGGAAGATAACCTGGTTATACATCAGATTGTCGATAAAATAGTCTTCCATCAAACGCACTTCACTCATCTCACATTGCCTATCACGGTACCTTCTACTTGCTCTTGGAGATTGATCTCCTGTGAAAAAATTGAATGAGTTTATGACCATATCCTCGATGATGCAATCAAGTTGTTGGTTTTGTTGAACAACTCGTGATTGCCATCATCAAATTCGTCAACTGATTCTAGTGAAGAGTTTTCATTATGAGACATTTTAGTGGATGTTTGAGAAAAATTGTATGTATAAGTCTTTGTTGAAAGACAACAAATATGTAGGGGAATTTTAACATTATTGGGAGACAATGACATGTGAACCTGAGTGAAAGAGACAACATATTATTGGGAAACAATGGCACGTAAACCTGAGTGAAAGAGACAACACATTATTAGAAGACAATAACATGTGAACCTGAGTGAAAGAGACAGCACATTATTGGGAGACAATTGCATGTGAATCTGAGTGAAAGAGATCACACATTATTGGGAGAAAATTATAACCATTCATTTTAACATAAAGTTAAACTTCAGATAGCACACTTGAAAAACAAGTTACAAACAGATACACGAAATAATAAATTACATATAAAGAATTCTAAATTGCAAATAAACAACTATCCATACAACATTTTCAAAATACATTCTTTCAATGCCTCCTCTCCTGGTGACAGGTGTTCTTTCGCCAACAGTATATGCAGATTCTTGTGGTGTTCTCGTTGATTCTTGTGGTGTTCTTTCTCTTTTTTAAATTCAAGTCTTTCAGTTATGATTTCAACCTCACTATTTCTTGTGATGTTCAATGCACGAAATTCTTCAAAATAGTTAAGAGCTAAAGAAGATTGTGATGCCTTACTTTTTCCTTTTCTCTTTGCCGTATCTCTACCCATAGGACGTTGAACTGTTGAACCACCAACAGTTAGCGATCCTTGGTTGGTTTCGACAAAATAATCTCCTTCTTCTGAAGTTCTTCATCTTTTTGTGCTTCGACTACTTTCTTCATTATCTACTTCAAATTCTATGCGAGAACGTGTTGTGTCACGTTCTAACTGTAAATCCCA